CACACACACACACACACTCCAAAGCAGCATTAGATGAACTAGATAAACACAGCACCCACACTAAGCTCAAGCCATGAGTAGTGCAAACACATGCTGCCTTAGAAATTCACATTAGAAAGACAGACTGAAAAGAAAAAAAAATGATGATCATCGTGATAGACTAACATACTGAGCTGCACAAGAAAAGAAAAAAACGGAATGGCATAGTTAATGATAAGCCTGGACTGGGTTGAAATGCAAAGTCAGGCAACCTGGAATAAAAGAACTTGAAAAACACAGAGGAAACAAAAATGTGATCAACAAAACAAGAAGATGCTCAGGAAAAAAATAAGAAAATGAGCTTGCTGCTGAATGCTGTATCCCCCCCCGCCATAAAAATAGGGAATTTAAATTACTATCAGAAAAAGCAGCAGATAAAAGGAAATCACAGCAAAGGCTAAAAGAGTTTGGCTCAGTTTGATGTCTGCAGGTAAAAACTGCGGAGAAGATCAGCGCCACTTTACGCTGGCTTTCTTTGTGAGATCAGCTTCTTGTAACTACTGCAGCTAGAGAACGGAGATGGTTGGACATAGGCTTAGGGACTCACAGGAAGGAGAGGCTTGGTCTCCTCTTTGACCACTTTCGATGCTGCTGTTGCCTGGTAAGCAGGTGCCAGAAACAGAGGTCAAAAGGGCAAAGTCCAGCTGGAGAGGACAGAGAGGATCCACGCACCAAATGGTCCACGATCACCTACCTGTAGCTAATGGCCAACTGACAAAATATGACCGGTGATCTGCAATCGTAATAGTAAAAACTAATGTGATGATGACTGTGTACTATGTGGAATAGATGGACTGGTATCAGGACTACGTGGATATTTGAACATGATATAAGAAGGAATAGTTCGACATTTTGGACAATCTGCTCATTTGTTCGCCGCCCGAGAGTGAGAGAAGATAATGGATACCACTCTCATATCTGTCTGTTAAGTACATGTATGAAGCTACAGCCAGGAAGCAACTGGCTTAGTTTAGCACTGGGAAACCGCTAGCAGGACTAAAAAAAAAAACCTAACAAGATATAACAGGTTAATTAATTAGCTTTTGAGGTTTTGCTAAGCAGATTCCTGCCAGGATAAGCTAACTAGCTGTTGGCTGAAGCTTCATATTTAGCAAACAGACGATAGTGGTATCAATCTTCTCATTGACTCTCGGCAAGAAAGCAATTAAGCTCATTTCCCAAAATGTTGATTTCATCCTTTGGGCTTTCATGTAGAATGTGATGCATGAGGGGGGATGATACAGTATCATGCATTGTCATTCACGTGCACTTGATGCTTGGGTAGGTCTTAAGTAGAAGCACATATTCAGCACCTCCCTGTACGACTTCTTAATTCTTATTTAGCCATGCTATCGTAAGAATAGCTAAAAAAGGATCAACTTTGAGTCTGTATTTCAACAACTGCTATAAACGTTGCACAAGCAGAAAGGTGTGAAAATATGCAGCAGAGAATATCTGAACTGTTGATTCTATGTTTCAATAGCTGCAGACTGACATCACGCAGCAGATAAAAGCGAAGGCAGGTGGTGTGCACAGAGGTGACAACAAATGAAGCTGCTTTAATGAGAAAAAAAAACATCATCAGTTATGATTTGTTAGCGTGTTCCCAGCATGCAGCCACAGATCAAGCGCCAGCACTCCATGGATGGATGTATTAGTGGGAATGAGACAAATCGGCCCATGCAGGTGTTAAAGAAATAAGCCACTGAAGAGAAACAAAAATTGGTGGATACCTGTGTGGCTCATAGCTTCCTCCATCTTTACCTCCTGATCAGAAAAATAAGAGCAATCGATTGTTAATGCTTTGATTCAAGGAGATATGGGAGGGAGATAAATAGATCATTCACACTGAAGATTTCTTCATGCACGGCTGCTACTCCCTACGGAGAAATGCAATTATTGGATGATCAGAATGAGGAAGGGAGGAAGGGAGGAATGAGGAGAAAAGAGATTTGGGTTTGAAAAGAGGGAGAAGTTGTTTGAGAAGTCATATGATTGGACTGGATGGATGAGGATTGATCAGAATTGAAGTGTTTGTTAGGTGTGCAGTTCAACGGGGTTTCCCCTTCAAAGCAAAAACACACACAAGGGTTATCCAGTCAGGTGATAAACTCACACTGCGTAAATAGATGCAAGTGACTGCTAGATCCATTTCACCGGGCAAGTTAAATATTAATAACCTATTCCTCCAACAAAAACATCAAAACGGCAATTTCACTGGTTCACGATGCTGGCATCACAACGAGCAAGGGCAGCCAGTACAAGTAAGAGATTTTAGGCTGCTATGTGACATGTGTTGGCACAGTTTTGACAAGTCCAGCATGCCAGCACTGAAACACAATCAGTTTTCTCAGAGCAGCTTGGCCGCTCCAGTGCTCCACTCTCCAGCTGGTAATTACAGACATTAAGTTTTTATCCCCAGGACATAAACAACGCAGCCAGTCCGTGCCACACACGAACCTTACAGGCTTTGGTCATCACGGTTTTACTTATTAACCACCTCCATCCCTGGGATGTCTGCTCTGTAAGGATGCTTGGACCATGCAGTGGTAGTAAAAAAAAATTAAAATATCGTGGCTGATTATAGCAGCGATGCTTGACGGCCTCCAATAAAGTGACAGCCTCAATTGCTGTGATGACAGCATCCTCCAAATAATATCTTTAGCACACAGTGAGTCACAATGCGGACGATGGCCAGGACATACAAATGTAATATGGGTTTACTTTTACTGTAAAATACTATTCAAAACACTGGAACTCAGTGTGTGTATGTGGGGAAAATATTCCAGCAGAGTCGAAGGTCCTCGGCTGAGAAAGAAAGAGAGGTCAGAGTGTGTTCTCATGTGTCATCATGAATCAAATATTGAACACACATCACACACACTGGACTCGGTGATGACTTCTGGACCTCCACCTGAAATATCGGCACATGTCACTGAGTGGATCATCCCCAAACACATGCAGCATGCAGATATGTGCACACACACACCACTGAGACTGAAACAGATTCAAAACACAACAGAAGACCACGACTGAAAGAGTCAATCTATTTTTTTCCCCCCAACTCAACCTAATTCAAATTTAATCATCTGTTCTCTTCACTAATTCTTCTGTTTGTAAAATCTGTTTCAGTCATTGTTGACATAACAACTACCACTAAGCCCAGTGTAACACTCCACATAAACAAACTTTTTTAGGTTGGTAGGAAGAATTAACAGGCTGAAAATGAGCATTTTTACCTGTATCCAAGCCTTTTGGGCGAGGGTTACACTGCTTGTAACCTTGACAACTCCTCATCTCCATCAGCTGGGCGTGGAGAGAGTTCAGTACCTCCCGATCCACTGCATACACCGCGTTGGTCAGCTGCACAGGTAAAACAAACACAAGAAATTCACTTTCACACAGAAACTATTGAAGTGCTAGTTTGATAATGCAGGGACCAATGGAATCGGTTCGAGAGATATAGACAGGAAGCACAGCCTGAAAGACTGCAGACAGATGTTCACCCACCTGGTAGGGGTCACTGTTGAGGTCAAAGTACTCCAGGAAGCCAGTGGAGAACTCGCAGAACAGTGTGTTGTGGGTCTCGTTGATGGTTCTCAGGCACCAGTAGGTGTTGTTGTTGGAGCTGGTGCACGCACAGAATCCACCCACTAGACAATAATTGAGAGATTCATCACAGTCAATTCCACTGCAGCTACTAACAAATATCTTAACAGGCCGTACAAATATGAGCTTGAAGTCAAAATACATACAGGACCAGAGGGGAGCAGTCTGCCAGTGGTCATTGTTGTGTGTGAAGCAAGTGAGGCCAGGCAGGCTGCAGTCGTCTCCCTTCCTCTGCCGCTTCTTTTCTTTTCTTTCCTTCTTCCTTCTGCGGATCTCGTTGTACAACTGGGCCTTCCCGTCAATTTCTTGTGCAGCCTCCCTGTCGGACAGGAACGTGAGAGAATTACAAAATGGTGCAATGCAAAGATGACATCAGCTCCTATCCTCTTTAATGCCAGCAACCGCAGCGATGGAAGATCTGGAGGGGGACTTCCAGAAGGCACCAGCGATGCCAGGATGTGACACTCTGTTTACTTTTATGTTTAAGCTCTCGCTATGTCCAATTTTCTCTGGGATGATATTCTAGCCACTGTCCCCCTCTTCCTCCTTGCCTGAACACAGAGCAGGCACTGCAGGAAAAAAAGCAGCTGCTTTGTATTGGCATAATCTGTTCCCAATGTTTCCTGGTGCAAGTTGATCACTGTGTTTGAGGGATTGACTGATTTCCCCCTCTGTTGAGTCATTCTATCTTTCCATGCGACTCAATCACTTCCAGACATACATACACACACACACACACACACACACACACACACACACACAAAAAAGGTCCCTAGCCATACATCTGCTTTGTCATTTAAACTCCATTCAGTACAAGGGACACTGAATGAAAATAGCTAGATAACATTTAGAACAGTTTTTTTTAAGCCCACAGTACACACTCAAAACACACACATGCTGGTTGGTGATCTGGGAACTACAAAGTCATCTAAATGAAGGTGAGCTTTATGTTTAAACGTGACATGCAGTGAACATGCAGATATTCAGCGACAACAGCAATGTACAGTCAAACACCATTATAAAGATACAATATTTTTCTATAGAAGTTGCAAGCCATGGTCATTATTAATAAACAAGGCAAGGGGTGACACTAAATGGCGCATTAAAGGGGAAGAGAAAACTCACTTAAATGGATGGAGTTGATCTTTCCTGCTCTTCAATCTTTCTGCCTTGTTTCTGTCTCCTTTGTTAAAATAGCTGGTTTTATAAACAGAGAAAGAGACTAAGTACCAGACAGAACACTTTTTTTAGGCGTGGACTCCAATAAGCGTTTGGCATCAGGTCTTAAAGAAGGTATAGATACCTAAACAGTCTGCATAGAAATAGCATGAAGGACAGAACTGCATTTTGAAGGTTAAATTCAAAAGACTAACCTCTTCTTTCCGCAGTCGCACTCGTCTGGCCGTGTCCTCTTCAGATGGCCTCTTACTTCCCGGAGGTTTTTGATTTTGTCTTGAAGTGCTTCAATCTGGGATTAAAAAAGGCAACAAATACTATCAATAATCTTTGATCTATTATGACAAATCATTGACCTTGAGTGAGTGCCAGGCTTATGGTCTGAGTTTCGTACACACCTCCTGGTCCACATAGCTCTTGTGGTCTTTCCAAGCTCTGGAGGACTGGTAGATTTCTCTTTCACAATGCACACTGTCATTCACCAAAATAAAACACCTGAAACAGACGCAAAAACACCCGTCAAAGACTGCTCTTTTCATCACAGACATACTGTTCATATGTATTGGAAATGAGATTCAATTTAAAGGGAGTCTGCCTTCTTACTTATGGGTAACTTTCACAGAGTTTGCGTATCCCACAGCATTGGTGTCATCTGCCAGCATTTCTTCTGAACCATCATCTGAGCCCAAATCAAACGCTGTGCCCTCGTGGGTGTAGTGGCGCTTTGAGATGACACGGCGGCGGACAGCTGACTGATCGTCTGCTTGAAGGTCAATGTCATATATCTGACCTTCAAACTCTACAGACAGAGACCTGGTTGGCCGGGTGTGGACAAAACGTGGCCGATAACCTATTAAAAACAACAACAACAAAAATCAGTCAACCAATGCTTGAGTTGCACCTTTTCTTAACAACACTAGAGGGCATCAAACCATTCAAAACCACAATCTCAACAGCACACATACACACACAAGACAACATCCACAGAACAAATTGCTGGACTTGTGCAGGATGTTTGCCTTTTCTGTGCATCTGTCTCCCTTTAGAGCATAAAAATCCATTACAGGAAGTCAAGCCTTGAGCCTTCACAGACGTCTTTTTCTTCAAATGGTATTGAGAGACAGACATCAATACGATGTTATGAGTTAAGAAATGGCTGGATGTTAACTGAAGCAGTCTGCCTATGCTAGATCCCCTACTGTTAAACTGAAATAACCACAAAAATCTTACTTGAATTGACCATTCTTATTTGATGAAGAAATAACACATTCGTGTCTACTCACGCTGGCCAGATGAGAGCTGTCGTTGGGAGCGGCGGTCCGATCTGGAGGGTTTGAAGCCAGCGTCCCCACAGTCACAGACCCTCTCTCTGTTGTCGTAACTGCTACGGGGCCTCAGGCTACGGGCCCTCTTCCTGGAGCCTTCTTTTGAACCGCCTTTACACTTCTGTATCCTCCATTTCCCTGTGATCTCCTCCACACAATGCCACTTCTGTCAACAACAACCAAAAGCAGAAATAAACAAGGAGAAAAAGTATTCACTCACAAATTCTTTCAGGTTTTTTTTTCTCTTCTAACTTCATTTCTATGTGTAGATTTCCAGGAATTTGAACAATCCAAAATGTCCCTGATCTGTATCTCTTTTGGAAATGTTCCGTGTTACTTTAGCAATAAACAGATTTTCTGGTTTTGCTATAGATGTTACCAATATCTCAGACAAGACTTTGTTTTGATGTGATTTTAGAAACTGTTGAGAAACCCATGCTTCTGACAAATATATCAGGAAAATCTCAGTCTGTGGGAAAGAATGGCATCCAAAAGCAGCAGGAAAGATAAACCAAAACAACCACATGAGATGAACTGGGCCTGTCTGGTGTCTAGAAAATAAAGTGGAAACCCCTATCACTCTCACACTGGGTATGTCTGTGCCAAGTGCGTCACCAGTGTAATTGTGTAAATACATATCCACGCACTTGCCTACATCCTGCGTGTCTTGACATTCATTCACACTAGGAAAAGAAAGTTGAGGCTAATTTCTGTGAGTAGCACCGCTGGTTAGGTCTGGTATAAATGAAAGAGACACATCTGCAGAACCCAACACAGACCATCAGTGGTGAGTGTGGGAATGAGGGTCCAAACAAAGGGCCATAAGGCAGATCAGGTTTCTTTTTGAAGGCTCATATAGTGACGAAGACCTTATGGGCCAAACAGAGCTGTTATATTAGTATTTGAGAAACCGAGAGAACCGAGGGAGAGAGACAGAGATGTAATGTCACTCAGGGATGAAAACAATCTGTCTTCCTTTAACCTTCTCCCTCGCCCTCCCCCCTGTGAGTGCTTTTAAGACTAAACAGTACCACTGGAGCAGCAGAGATGGATGAGAAACTGGGGAAGAGGAGTGGTAAGAGTAAGACCCAAAGTACCGCAAGTCACTCACACCGTCATGTACCCTGAAAAACATACAGTAACAGAGGTTTCTCCATGTCCCTGGTGAGTAAATCTATGTACACACAACAAACCCATACCGTTATCACATGATCGTTTCGGAGGGACCGCAACGGCTCTGTGACAAAAACACAATAGAGGCTGTGCTCTTTTAAATTTCTGGTCTGTCTGAACCAAAATCGTGTGGTCATATTCGAGAGGCAGCAACTTTTACAGCTTTTCAAAAACAAAACTTCTCTCATTTTAACCTAAATTGAGTTCAAGGCTGAGGTTTAATGTCCTTGTTGAACATCCCTTTAACTATTTCAATACAATGCCTCAGTTTGAGCCAAGGATTTCTGTGACAGTGAGGTAAGTCAACAGAGGAAGAGGAGTAGGAATAAGAGATGAAGCACTTGCCTGCTGTGTGTAAGTACCACCCCCACTGTAATTTAGTAAGACATACTAAATACCCCACTGGCTTTCAGGCTACTCACTGGGAGGCCATGTTAAATCATGCCAGACGGGCCATTTATGACTAAATCTTATTCTTCTTGATAATGCAGCTACATATGATGTATACTGTAAATGGTTTTATTGCTACACATCTTTTGTGCATTGATACAAGTGCACATACATATTGTACCCACTCTCACACACTGCTGAGCTCAACTAGAAATTGGTCCATCGCTGACTTAAATAACTGATTGTTATATACAAACATTTATGTGACCATAAACTGGATCTGGATTGCATTAGTCAGACCCTCAGAAACCCTGCCCATCATTTAACGCTACCTGAAACTTGTAAAAATTTGTAATGTTCTGGTTTGTATGCAAGGCCACATACTGTACTACTTGGATGTTGGTCTGCCAGGAAATTAATTGGCACAGATGAAAGGGAAGTACCAACAAATGAATGCACCACAAAGCAGTGCAAAATCCTGTTATGAACCAACTGATGTAGTGTAAATGACTATTTAATTTGAGGCTCTGTGGAATAGTTTAACAGGCAGCATAGAGGTCACTTCAAGAGAGGTACTCATTACTGTACAAAAAAAACTGAAGAAATTTTCCTTAGTGGATATCGGGGGAACTCATTTCTGCTCACAAAAGTTTACAGAAATAAGCTGTGCAAATGGGCGTGTTTGTTTTACCTGTCCAGGCTGTTCGCAGGGTGTCTGGAATTCCGCCTGCTGGCAAGTCTCTTTGACCTTCTTGTATTTGGGAAGGCTGTTGGTGTGCTGAGTATTCACTGAGTCATCCTTCTTTCTCAGGATCTTTCTGCACGACACAAGTAAAGAGAATTAAGAGGAAATCAGCATCAACAAAAGGACTTATTCAGGGAGCAAATACACTATAAAACTATTAAAGTATTAGTGAACTGCAGTGAGCGGAATTAAAGTTTTACTTGCTTTAAGAGTTTCCTGTTTTTTACTTTCTGTCATGGCCACTCCTGTGTGCTTCTCATGGTCATAGCCAGTGAATGGATAAGTTATGTAGCATCTGTGTTGTGCCAGAGGGTCTGGGCATGGAGCTCAGCTCAGCCTCACACCAGTGCTCAGCTCTGGGCCAAGCTGTTTGACCTTGGCTTGGCATCACGTTCAACTGCCCTGCCCCCTTCTCCTCTGCTACCACCACAAGGCCTGGCTGAGTCCCTGCTAAGGCGATGCCAACCACCTCCCATCCCCTGCTCTATCCCCAACTCTCTGCCAACATGGCCTGGCTGCTCGCGACACGCAGACAGAATGACGGCGACAACGAAGCACAGAACAACCTGTCCCCTATAAGAGTAGGGCTGTTGTCTTGTCTGATCCTGTATACCACTCTGTTCCAGGGGAAAACAGCCAATGTTCACACACTGGCTTGGCTGTAGTCTGTTGCCTTCAGCCAAGGGTGATTAAAGAGCTAACAGTTGTTCGATGTCACTCCCTGATGGCTGCATTACGTAGGTGATTGGATTCCCAAACAACATAGTCAGTCCCAGCTGTCAGTCAGCATTTCACAGGCTCAGAGGTACAGTACTATAAGGTCATGTGAGGATATTAAATCACAGAGCGTATCACATGACCAGTGAGAGAACTGTACAAAAAACATTAGCTACTGTGTCTGAGTGCAACTACATCTGTGCCTGAGAGACAGAGTGAAAGGTCTGTGGAGGCTAATCTCCGCCTTTAGAGACAAGCGCACAAGCAGACAGCCTCCTATAAACAGTATGGATTAATGGAAGAATGGATTAAAAGAGCTAAAGCCCTTACAGGTCAGAGGTCACACTCTTTTTATTTCATACACAGCAGTCCACAGACCCACTACTTCTTCTGTCAAGCAAACATACACCAGAAGGAGAATGTTGTGTGTGCGGGGCAGCAGAGCTAACTAGTGCTTATTTTACATTCTTGGATACGTGTCTACTGATGTTGACGTAGTCGCTGGCAAATGAGCAAATTAGTGGAAAGGAGATGGGAGGGCCAAGCCAGCGATTTGGAAAAAAATAGGGATTGTGAGGAAATGATAGTGGGGGAAAAACAGCAGCTGTACGGGAGAACATGACATACTGTAATATACAGTATCATTACACATGCTGCCAGCACAATCTGGCCGCAACCAGTGTTACTGTTCTCCCCCATTCATTTTCCTACCAATGCCCCTATGTCTTTCCTTTCTTATTTACTTAATTTGAACCTTTTTTTTTTCCTTTGGCAATCTGTATCACACGAAGACAAGCTTGATGGGATTATTTCTCTCCATGTTGTCAGGTTTCTGTCAGTGTACCTCTGGCATTAACACAGCTTAACATGCTAAGTGAACAAAAGCCGGCTGTCAGATTGGAGGTATCATTTTCTGCAACATATATCTGGCAGCAGAGGAGAGGTTAAATAAAGACCTGACAGGGTTTTTTTGAGAGAGCATTTACTGTATGCGATCGCGTGCACTACAAAGAAAACAGTCTTGGGGGAAACAGTCAAGTGTTGGCTATAGCATGGCTGCTGCATTCCACACTGGGGGAGCTGGTGACATGTCCTGTGAGTGGATTGAGTTTGAGCCTTCTAGCCATTCCTCAGGTAACATCATCCTGAGACTGGCTGGGCTTTGTTTATTTTGCGCGTGTCTAGCTCTACCACGTTACTGAAATGTATCTTCCGTCTGTCTCCGCCAGCGCAGGAACAGCAGGCTAAGTCAGGTTTAGGGCCCCCGATCATGTGCTCAATATATACAAGGCCCCTTCGGAAGACAAAGACTCAGCTTGTTTTTCTTGTAAATGATCAAATGACCTGGTTATGCATGTGTCAGCGCCTCTTGCGTGAACTGTCATAATTTGCCAGCCGCTTATAGCTTTAGCAAACAACTTACAATATTTCAACCTCTTCCACCGTCAGTGCCTTCCAAGCCGACTGTGGTCAGGAAATGTCTGTCAGATAACAAATAACTGGGAAAAGCTGCTGTGTTGCTGGAAGGGGGAACGTGCATTGAGCCTTGCAGATTTTGGGTTCATTGAAATGTTTTGTCAGGTTTGTGTGACACACAATGCTCTACAATGACATGGATGTGTCTGTGTTGTGGAAAGGGAATAAAGAACCCCAGTTTACCCTCGCTCCACCAGGAATGTGTCCCTCCAGACTTTGGGTTTCCGGTTTGGTTTGAATCTGGAAAAACAAAACGCACAAAGTTTATAGAATTCATATGGCCTATACACTCAGCATCAGCTAGAGTGTGTTGGGCATTCAGCTAGCCAACATTATGTTGATCATAGAAAGCTCAAGACCTTGTGGGTTTAAGGAAATAGTGTAAATGCTCTTTGAGCATTAAATGGATTATCCCAGTTCTTTCTGTTGCTCTGGAAATGTTTTCCAATGTAACTGACTTTTTTCCTTTAAGATATTTACAGATATAGACAGATATATTAACACTAGCTTTTTGAAAAAATATCTAGTAAGTGACAATTATTTTGCATTCACATTGGACACTGTTTGTACTGTGGGTTTTACTGGGAAAACAAATGATTCAACTTGCAAACAAATTCTACGGGAACCTTCATTAGAAGAACCTCAGTGAATCCAAGCCAAAGTCCCACAGCCAAGGAAAATCCACCAAATTGCCCTGAACCCACTTTGTGCTCAGCTGGAGCAAAAGCAATTATTTTGGCTATGGAAATTTGCATCTGCTGAATAACGGCAAACGAACAGGACTGTTGCACATATCATGCACACTGTGCAATTACTGTACATAATATCCATTACAGCATGGCATGATGGATCCATACAGACCTATTGCCAGTCCTTTCTTGTTCCAGCAGCTTAAGGATGGACTTTCCATCCATGTCTGGAGGGGTGTCCAGCCCAGCAATGTGAAGGATCGTGGGAGCTAGGTCAATGTTCAACACCAGATGAGGATTTCTAAAGAAATACATGCAAGTTTACTTAATCTTCTGAAATACACACAGTGATAATAAAAAACAAAACCAAGGAAACTGAACAAACAAGGGTAAAACTTCAGACGGAGAACATCAAGGTACACACAGTACAGTTCTTTCTTGATCTTTCACAATGTGGATTCGATGTAATTTGTAAGCAAAAAACTGAATAATGTGTTTAGTTGTTGCTTGGACTTACACTGCTCCTGGCTCTACATTGGGCCCTCTCAGGAAGAATGGCACACGGATGTCAAAGTCATAAGGCATTGACTTGCCTTTGACCAATCCAAACTGACCAATGTGGTAGCCATGGTCTGCTGTATAGATGATGTAAGTGTTATCCAGCTCTCCAGTTTCTTCCAGCATTTCATACACCTGGAAAGAATAATCAATGACGATGAGAAGATAGACAACAGACTTACCCAGATATAAAAATCCATTAATAATTACACTTACCTTCTGCACTGAGTCATCCACAGACAGAAGTGTCTGCAGCCTCTTCCGATGCAGGAAGTTGGTGAACTCCATGTGGATGGGTCTCATGGGGCCTGTATACTGCATGATCCAGTGTTTGTCCATATTTGGGGCATAATTGTAGCTGGGGGTGCTAGGAGGGCACAATGGAAGGAGAGAGGAGACATTAAAAAAAAAACTGCCTGTATTTAGAATTGATAGAATATACATGTTTACTGTGTGCCTGATGAAGTCGCATAGAAGTAGGAAAATATTTATGGGTGTTTGTCTAGAAGTGAGTTATCAGAGCATGTAACAGCTATGAAGACCCCATTTAAGATGCCAAAAAACACCTGTCTGCTACTTTTCACAAACTACTGCTCAGTAACAGGTGCCATAGTTGTCTACTGCGTTTGACACACATCAATAGCTGCTCTGTTTGTTGAAGGAAACCTCTTAATAGTCAGCAGCCAGCACCTTAGCTGTTTTTCCACACCTCTCTTCGACCATCTCTCTCCTCGCACAGAGACGAGAGTCTCCTTGCTCCACTGCGCTCTTGGCACAGACAAGTCATTTGAGGGTTGGCACATGCTTAAGAAAATAATAGGCCCCAAAGTCAAGTTTGCAACAACTTCTGGACCAAAAACCCAATAAGTCATGGTCATTTGAAATGGGGGGAAAAACAAGAGTGGCAAAAAGAGCAACAGGGGTTGAGAAGCTGTTTTGTTTGTGAAGTTATAGCTGAGAGGAGCTGTTCACTTGTCTGCGGTATTAGTTGTAAAGCAAATGAGGGAGATAAACAGTAGACAAACATTTGAAGTTGACTTTGTTTCTTGCAAAGTTTTGCAGTCCAAAGCAAAATAGTAGATGAATTATACTACAAGCATGTGAAGTTAGCCCCAGAATCTTTGTTAGTCAGTTTTATAGTCTGTAATGTTGGAATGTAACGTGACAATAACCAATAATGTCCCTTTTACTATAAGTAATTCACTCCTAAAACAAACCATAAACAAACCATAAACAAACCATAAACAAACCATAAACAAACCATAAACAAACCATAAACAAACAGGTTCCACACCTGACTAAGCAGCCGCTGGACAAAGTATCAAGACTTAGATAGTTAATGAAGACCTGCTATGGGAGCTGCTTTGCTCTGATTGAGTGAGCTGCCTTCTGCCCTCTTCCCTTCAGGCCTGCTTTGTGAGAAGGGTGAACTCTTCACCCACCTAGCCAGGCGGTCTAATAAGCACCACAAAGGGACCTGTCTCTGGGCAATGGGCCACCAAGGTATGGGGCCCTGGGCACCAGGGAACCAGGAATGCAAGGGTCAGTGGAATAAAACCAGTCCATAGTAGAGGTCACACCTGCCACCTGTCATATATAGGTCATGTTTTGTGGTATTAGCCCTGGATTACAGCAGCCCAGGGCCTGCTGTTCACCCCAGAATGGCTCCTGACCTTACAAAACTTAACATGGACACATCCCGCATGAGGATTAGTGACATTCCCTAAAGCAACTTGTTGAGCGACGACCAGAATAACTTCCATTCACTCCCTGCTGTAAAAAAGACATGCCATTGAGAAACCGCAGCACATCTATAGTGTTTAAAAGAAGTCAGGAGCTTCGCATACATCTAAGAGACAGGGTAAAAACACCTTCAGCCGAGGAATGTTAATGACATTAACATCAAACCCTCCCCTGCTATTGTTGCTGTCAAAAGTACAGACGCTCATTTGATTTATGAGGTGGCTCCTCCTTTACTGCCACGGAGTCTCTTCCCAACTCTGAACATTACGAATTAGAGGTATATGACATCTGCTGCAAAGTCAAAAAGTGGCAGACCAGACAGATTTTCAGTCATGTCTTTCCATTAATGGATGACCTTACCAGTTCCTGAATAGATTTTTTAAAAAATTTAACTAAAGCCCCTTGAACCCACTCAAACACAAAACAGAACAGTGGCAACATTTTAATTATAAACTGTTTCACAACATCTGCCAGAGAAAAAAAAGTCTGTTATAGACTGTAGTCAACAAACACCAAAACAAACACCCACCCATACCAACCAGCTAACCACACCACATATTCCACACATACTGCACCTACACACAATCACTGGGGCAACCCCTTTATTCACCCGCGGGCCCCAGTCCCACACCCTTCACCCGGTGGCTCGAGCTAAAAATAAATTAATAATGTCACAAAGGGTGTTCCAGAGTGCACAATGCATTCCTCTCGTCCCAAGAGCCGCGGGGAGAAACTACTGATTGATATGGACAGGATCAGGAAGTCCTTTGCGAAAATTCACAGGAGGGGAGAGCAGCAAGGGATGAGAAAACAGAGACAAGACACTTGGAGACAGAGGGACAGATAAACAGAGAGACAGGCACAAACAGAGATATACAGATAGAGGAAGAGAGCAAACAGACTGTGGGGAATGTTAAGTGGATAGAAAGTGAGAGGAAGGATGTGGGAACTACTGAAAGCACTGGGAAAGAAAGAGGAATATTGAGTAGAAAAGGCAGCCTTGAACGCTACACCTACTTCTAGAAAACACCATCCCCCTCCACCCAACCCAGTGGACTAGTGCATCCTGGGAGCCTGTTGGAGGGTCCACCAAGAGATGGCATGTTGCCATGGAACAGTATTGCAGCACTGCTTTAACTCAGCAATGAGAGTTGTGTGAGGCCGATGTGGGCTTGGCATGAGAGAGTGCTCTGTAAAATAAGCCATCCCTGATCCTTCTTAATGGTATGTGCCCCAGCTATTCTTGGATGATAAATCATTTTGATTTCACGCTTGCCGAGTCGTCGGCCCTAGCAGCTTCTAAGCAACTTGTCATCACTGGGGATTGAGGGGCGTGAGCATTGTAATAATGTTAGGTACACCAAATCATAAAAACTCAAATTGGATGCTAACTAGAAAAATTCCATATGGCAGCAGATGAAAGCTGCCAGAATGTCTGTGTACATAATGTCTAAATAAGGGGCCTAAACATTCATTTTTCATAATTTTACAGGGTTGAAAGTCCAATGGAGGAAGGATGAATGTATGTGTTTGATGTATATGTGTGATAATATAAGCCTGAGTGTAACTTACATATGCTGCGAAGCATTTGGGAAGTGCTCGGCATACTGTGGAGCAGAGTCCTCTGGGCCATGAGGAGCAGCGTGACTGATGACCATCATCACAGGACGGTGAGGGTACATCCGCTTGGACATGCGGAAAAAGTTGATGCTGTCGTTGGTGATCAGATCTGTGAAATAGTCCTGGAAAAAGAGAGCAAATACCATGAATAAATAGGAGTTAGTAGGTGCTGCAGGGCTAAAATCCCACGGAACTGGGGAAAAATGCAAAACAATACAAGCTTTGATAAAACGCAGTCCAATCACTATGATATGTTGCCTTCCCTCGTCTAGTCATTTTCAAATAAATGGAGAGGGGCCAGTGGGGATATGAACTGGGGGCATTGAGTACACTACACTACCAATCTGTCGAGTCAACAGCTGGCAGCTTGCCTGTGTGTGTATGTGTGCGTGTCTGTGTGTCTGTGTGTGTAAATGTGAGTGTGCGCTTGAGTCTGTGTGTGTATGTGTATACAGTATATGGGCTGTTGCCTCATCAGTGAATCTCTGCACTATTGAATGTGACACCACTTGATGGTGAGAGGAGCCTGGTGCTCTGAAATGGTATGTTGTTATGACAGCTCCCACCCCTCTACTCCTCTCCTGGCTATCCATTCTCCTACTATTTAGCTTAGTTTTATTCTATCCCTTTTCTCTCAGCATATGTTTTCTTTCCTTCTCATTGATTCACTCTGGGAGATAATGGAACACACAAATCAGGCATACAACGATACAAGCCTAAGGCAGTACTGGGGAGATGATCTGGAGTGAGTGATGAATTGTATACAGGAGATGGGAAAGAAACAAGTTCCCCAAGACTCTGAGTGCTCTGTTTTTCAACTTTTCGTGGCAAGTGTAACTTCCTGTAAAGAGCTTAGACTCAGGAAATGAGAAATTGTCACACCAAACAACCCACAGGCATGACATTTTATCAAAACCTTTATTCCAAGCGTGGTGGAGTCTTTTTTAAATGTACGGTAGGTCACACCCTTAACTAAAATCACAATAATGTTTGCCAAGTTTCCAACTGTAGATTAACCATTCTACCTGCAGCTTTGGCATGCCGTTGTCTGGCATACAACATACGGAAGGGAGTGCCAGGTTCAGAATGAAAGGGTAAAGGGTGATTTCCCTGAAATGTCAGAAGTGGGTTTGGCTGATTCATTCTGTCTCTATTAATAGGCTTTATAGCCAGGCCAACTTTAATGGCCTGGCGGCTGCACATGCCCATGGAAGCTGGCAAAGCATCGCCATACTTGTTTTCTCTGTTACCAACTCTCGAAAAATCTGAGCCACTGCTGCTAAGGGTTCTGGCAGGTCAAAAGGAAGTGACAGTGTCATGGGGAATACCTTGCAGCTATAAATTGGTCAGAGAGGTCAAGAGTATCACCTTTCCCAGAACTATTTGTAGATGATGAGTATTAAGTGGCAGTCACATAATACAAACTCATTTACACATGGATTAATTCCCCAGTGACATTCAACTATTTAAAATGAATATTTTAATATTTTAAGTTTTAGAACAACCTACGTGGTTTGACTGTCAATGCCAACAGGGCGTTGTAGCTTTGAGACTTTGAATTTACAAGATGTGTACATGAGGAGTTGTCTATTCATTTCAAGCAGCTTGATCTCTAATGGGTGGAAATTTCTGTTAGCACTCATGACACCAATGTATCACATCTGGCTTGCAAAGCAGGCTGCTTTTTGTCTTTATGACAGTTGACTTCTGTCATGGAATTTTAAGAAAAAAAGTGGATGAATCATATTTTCAAACTAAACCTCACACAAAAGGTCTTTGACAAAGGCCTTATCCTCAATGAACTCATCCTCCTACAGACGGAAAATCAAATAGGAGCAAATTGAATGAAATCACTGGGCAAGTGCCTCATATAATCACAATGATTTGGTGTGCCAGCTGCATTCTGTGTGGAATACATGACCTTCTCACCCTGTGTGGATCTAAAAAGAGGAGTTGTGTTTGTCCTAGTGGTAACAGGTTAATGGGTTTTGGCAGTAAATAGCAAATAGTGTGTCCATTTGGTTTTAAACCACAATCTGCTGACCAAGCCCATGTCCTGTAAACACCTTGGTCTCAGCTTGTGGGTAACTTTACACCTCAGTCCAAGTTGGCAGGGGAATAGCAGTCCAAACATTTGTTTGCCCATCTTTTGGGCAGGCCATCTTGAAACTTGACATGTATCCAAACTATAAACCCTCCTCATGGATTCCTCATGTACCCAGGACTACGCTACCTGGGAAGATATTGGCACAGAGCTGCGAAAACAAACTGACAGCTCTTACAAAAACATTTAAAGGAAGATTGATGAATGATGGCCATCCAGAGCCACAAAAACACAATGTAACCACAGTGTTCATCTCTAGAGTCTGAGAGTGGTAAAGTTAAATTACCCCTCCTTTTATATTGTAGCTTATTATAGCAAAAATCATTCTGTCAAACTTAATAGGGGGACAAAAAGAAAAGGAACAAGGTAGACAGTCAGAAAGAGAGACAAAACAAGTGCAGGGTGGTACTTATCACAGGCAACATTGGCTTCTCATAAAGGTGCTTCAATTTTACAGTGTCTAAATGTTGAGGTAAGGCGCGTCATAATAAAAGGATTCTGCAGAAAGAGTAGACGCCACCTAAAGTCAGCTCATTCCCTTTAATTCTCGAATGAGAATTCCTGTCAGCCTGGATCACAACATTGTGATAATTGAAGTGTTTCACTGTCTGTATTTATAAGTGGATTGGAACCTGCAATTTGTCAGGCGAATTCTTTATATTAGGTCATAAAGGGAAAACAAATGAGTGATTGAGTTAATGGTCCCTTTTTGGAAATGATGGGAACACATACCTTGGAATAATCGGCACCGTGTTTCTCCTTGTAACCATTCCGACAGACAGTGTAATTATAGAAGCGGGAATTTTTTATCAATCCAACCCATTCGCGCCACCCAGGTGGGATGTAGCTGCCATTGTACTCGTTGAGGTACTTGCCGAAGAAGGCTGCAGAAGAGAAGGAGAGAGAATTGAGTGTTTTCTTTACATGTAGTCTTAGGCCATAAATGTACGTCTTCTTAGTCAGCTTTTTGCTGTGAAGATCTCAATTCTGTGCATCGGTGTGACCTTATCGGTGTCCGCGAGTATGTGACGCATACATTTTGCTTGTCTCTCTTTCCCTGGCTTCACTGCACAGCATTCTCAGATAGGCTGGGCAGGGAGCCAGCCGGTCCCAGAGAAAGCTAATTGCAGACTAACGCATCAGCTCGAAAACCGCAGGCCGTGCTGCAGCCCACAGGACCCCACTGAGCTGCCCAGTCCAACGCCTGCCCATCACTCACACAGACACTGTCTGATGGGACATGACAGCGACCTGGCACGCTCACTGTGTTTGCATTTCTCACAGAAGACAGCCAGGCAGGGCAGTGGACTCTAGCTTACTATAAAATGTACATTGAGTAAAAATAGAGAGGCCAGCAGGACATTTGAGCTGGCAGGGATTGACAATATCTTGGCAAAAAGTGAGATGGTACCCAATCATAACCTGAAAAATGCGATAATTCCATATTATTACAGCAGGCCTTTAATGCACGTAAAAAAGTGCCTATATGTGATTGCATGCGTTTGTTCACTAACCTGTCCTGTAGCCGGTGTTGTTGAGATAGACAGCAAATGAGCGTGGCTCATGCTGAGCTTGCCAGGAAGGGGAGGAGCAGTTCTCATTGTTGGTGTAGGTGTTGTGGTTGTGGACGTACTTGCCCGTCAACATGGAGGACCGTGACGGGCAGCACATGGGTGTGGTGACAAAGGCATTGGTGAAACTTGTGCCTCCATCTTCCATGATCTTGCGGGTTTTATTCATTACCTGTAGAGAACCTGGAGGACAAGGTATGGAGGTCAGTCTTCAGTGATATAATTTCACTGAAATCTTATTTTTGTTACATGCATTTTTAATACTAGAAAAAATAGGTTGCGCCAATATACTTCATGACAAAGTTTTTTAAAAATGAAATGTTTCATGTTGATAAACACAGTTCCTTCTATTTAGATCACTTGGCCTTCTCTTACTGAATTCTCTGAGAGGCAAATAATTAGAATTCAGCAGTTAATAGGCCAGATGGCCATTCGGCTCTGGCTTATGGCCTCTACTTAATATTTCATGTGTGGATGAAGACCACATAAATCCTGATGCAAATACCCACAAAGACAAAGAAATTGATTAAGATAGCATATTCATCATACAAGTTTATATATCTTTTTATTTGTATGACTTAAGATTGTTTTATAGGTAGCATAAATTATAATTGAATTTCTTTATACAACCCTGTATTGTAAATAACTCAATAACTTTGAATCCTTGTACATAGAGAAAAAAAGAAAAGAAATCACATATATTAATATAAGAAACATTGTAAAAAGTTTTCTTTTGAGTAAGGAAAAAAAAAACAAATAAATAGGCCCATAGAATTCCAGGAAGACCAGGAAGGGAGCCAGCCTTACCCAACTCTACATCCTGGTCGTCAGTCATAATGAGGATAATGTTGGGCCGGATGTTTCTGCGGTCTCTCTGGATGCGACCCCTCAGGCCCTGAGCCCTGGTGGTGATGAAGGCCCAGCTGCCTGGAGCCCAGTCCAGAGACAGCAGGGCCAACCAGGCCAGCCACTGCATCAGCATGGTGCCTGAGACGACAAGAGACGGGATGGGTAGATGGGAGGATTAATGGAGAGATGAAGGGAGGGCGAAGAGGTCCAGCCAGGCCACTCACTCACACCCGTGCAGTTCTCACAGCTGTGGTCGACTGCAAAGAGACAGAAAGACAAAACACAGAGACATTACAACAAGGAACACAGGGTAAAGAGATATAAAGTGGGCAATTTTAAAGTAAGAGAGAACGAGAGAGAATTGCATATTATTCTCATAAAGAAAGTCAGAGAAAAGCCTGAATTCCCTCTAGGAACATTTAAGCATATTTACTTCAGATAAATTGTGTGCATCTGGTCACAAATCATACTCATACAACAGTTTATCCATAAACAGAGAAGCCAAAAGAGATTATCCTGCGCTTTAGCCGTTGATGGTCCACCAAGGAAAACATACTCAACAGTTTCAACATATGTTGCATCCTGACTGAAACCCCATCAATAGTCTCCTGTGAAAATAAAATCCCTCAACATCAACTCTCCTGACCTAAACTGAAAAAAATAAATAAAACAAAATAACAACATCTAGAAACACAGATCTCACCTCAGAGAATCCCATAGGTCTCATTTTGTTTGGTCTCCTCTCATATTCACCTTGTGCTTTTTCACCCTCTCCTTCTGTGTCAGATAACACACACTCACACACGGAAAAAGTCTCTATCACTACTGGAGAGCTGTTTTTAAGCTAACTGTGCCGAGACCGTGCCATTGGCTGTCCACACTCAAACACCCACAGCCACTTTCCTGCGTCAGCCAATCACGGTCCACCTTCCACCTGTCACTCAAAAGTCACCCCCTGGTGAGTCAAGCGTGACAGAGGGCCGGTGGAGAGGATGGGACCACACTAGGGGGGAGGGGGTTAGGGGGCACGGGAGGCGGAGAGAGGGTTCCGCTACATTAACCCCAGTGCCACTGTCGCCAATCACAGATTACCACTGAGTCATTATAGCACTTTGCAGCTTCTTGCTCAGTTACAATGCCACGGTTGGTCATTAAAAGTCTGCATGCCCTTTACCTAAAAGCCAGGGAACAGTGTCAAATTTATACTAGCGCTAAGTTCAACTTCAGAAGAAGATAGATATGATGCATGTCACCAAAAGAGAGATCACACTTAATTTCCAAATGTTGATCCATTAATCCACCGTATCCTGACAAGATCAAGTGCACAGGACAAAAATGTAAAGATGATTTAAATTTGAAGATAACTTTCAGTGACAACAATATGTGTGACAGAAAGGCTTGTGGCTGTGAGCTGAACTATGACGCTGTAACAGAGTTCTCCATCATTGCCTGTGAAAAAGTGCCTTATGGACAGCAATCCCACTGAGTGGCATCATACTGTTCGCTATTCTGAGTTAATGGCCTGAAAACAAATGGCAGGTCTAGGACACCTGAGCCTGGACAAAGCTCACTGGGTGGTTCCACCCTTTCCACAAAGGGCCAGCCCCCACAGGCAATGACTCAAAACTATAACCTAAAATAAGTCATCATTTATAGTATCTGTCTCATAATGGCATCATTGTTTTTAAAAATGTGAAATGCAAATTATGTTTGTCAATAATGCACTATGTTGGTATGTGGCTTTAGTCCTTTCAAAAATGTTGCATATCTACTTTTACTATCCTGGGTTTTGTTCAGATTAGTGTTAACGGTAGGCTGACGGTAGAGGATGATGAAAGAATGACAAGATGGATGAGGCCTAGAATAATACATACTAATGACCATTGCCATATCAGTCCTTACATACTGTATCACAATGTTTATTTGTCCAGCTACCACACAGGTATGCACACATAAATACAAGAAAAAGCCTACATCTGCAAACACTTGCTCTCATTGATGTGCTAAACAGATGGCCATACATAACCTAATACAACTACAAAATGATCTTCTACAATCATATCAAATGGGTAAATAGGTAAGTCATGTTCTTTTCCTTGTACTGTATTAGTTATCTGTTTTCCCTCCAGTTAGATGTTATCTGTGATAAGCAGGGCTTCAGATGGAGCTTTAAGAGCACTTTAGTCTGCACTGCGTTTCAGATGAGCCTTGTCCGGGCCAGCCGGCCCAGTCATCGTGACAGCCTTGTGCAAACATTGGCGCCGTTTGGACAAACACCCCTCCAGTGCAGGGTGGCAGAGTGCACAGAACCTCACAGTGAATTACACACACAACACAAACTACTGTACAAACATATGCTGACATGCATAAACTCATAAGACACTCACAACAACACACACAAGTCATTCTCTAGCACAAAAACAATGCTCCTGCTGTGAGGGTCCAATTCCTCCTACATGAATGGGAAAGCTTCCCAGAAACAATAGACGCAGCACAAATCTAATGTTAGCACCCAGTGCGAATTCAATTTAACATGCCAATGGTTCTCAGCAATAGCCTCTTCATGCGACTTAGAGAAGTGAGAAAACAGACAAGAAGGTTCATTGTGGAATCTGATACAAACCTTGTGGTGCTGATGTGGTTAACTATAGTGGTATCAATAGCTACACTGTCTGAAACAACTGAGATGGCAGGGCTAATAATGTGCCATGCATAACGACCAGTGGGATGTGGGCCGAGGTTATGCTGGCAAAAAGACACAGCTGCTGTCCTTTGGGTTACCTCTCATCCTAACTCAATTTCAACCGATCCACTTTCCTCGCTAGGTCATTTGAAGTTCACTTATGACGAAAAGGATCCCAGCAGCTCTGCGTCTGCCAAACGCACCCCTGGATCACTTGACAGCTATCTATCTCAAAGTCAAACCTCTTCAAAGAAAACATCACCAGTTTTTTTTTTTATTTAGCATCTTTAGTAACCTGACTACATTTTAACATGACATATAGAGCTTTAAGCTGCTAGAGGAAATTACCAGCTAAGTGACAAGACGTGTCACTTAGTGTCTAAAGATGAGCAGCTGTCGTTTGTAGAGCAGTGGTAGATTGATGGCTGGCAGTTGGATGGCAGTATTAAAACCTATGGAACATGTAGCAAGTTTCCTGTTCAAATGGAGAAAAGAAAAGTAGAAAAAAAGAAATAGTCAAGCCCTAAAAACAGCCTCAGTCTGAGTGTACTTCTATCAGAATTAAGTCCAGTGGCTGCAGGGAGGGTGATGAGTGCACCATTAATATATTCTATGGTCTGTGTTGCTTTAGTGCATGGATGCAAATACATACACAAATATACATAATAAAGTCACTCAGAAATGACATTGGAACTGCTCTAGAGGAAAAAAGAATTTGACAGATTAACTGCAGATCAATATATTTGATCAATATGTATATTAAATCTGCTTCAGATTTGAAAGTTGGAGAGTATTTAAAGTGTGCAGATTAGACTGTTTAAATACCTCTTTAATTATCCCTGATTATCAGCATTAACTGCATCAGATTAACAGAATTAGGTCAGTGTGTTCAAACACAGTCACTTCTGAGTGTTTTGTTTTGTACACAGGCTTAAAAAAGCGTTATCCAGGGTTCTTGCCCTCAGGCCCACTTGCACACACGCAGCAGGGAAGGTACCTCCCACCGGATGTACTCAAACTAGGGCGCTCGTACACTGTAAACACAAGACACAATATGAGCAAATGTGCTATAATCTTAAAGTTATTATCCAGTCGGCGTTTGAACCTCTGCTCTGTTATGGTCACTGCTTCTTATGCCTCCAAAATGCATGTTGCCAATTACATGAACCCTTTGAGAACTTTGAGATTAATATTTCATGTCATTTTCATAAACCATTTATCTTGAATCAGTCATTTATTTATCTCATCTAGCAAGATATAAGTAGAACAAGCTTCTTCTATACATCTGTGGAACAGACAAGAGATCTTTATTCCTGGACAGAGTCGGAGGACTAGGGGGCACATTTTTTCTACGTCCTCATTGTTTTGGAGGATTAGCACTAATGACCCTTTAAATGAGCCTTTACTGTATTCATCATGGTTAAGCTGGAAGAAGAATATTGGGGAGGGATGGGAGGAACGTAAAATGCCCTGGGGTTCAAAGGACTGGAACAAAAAGGCCACTATGGAGTTTTCAGACACACAGCTGCCAGATACATAAAAGATGTGCAATTTTCAGATTAATGGCCATCAACACTAGGGACTTTTAGCACACCTCAACACCCTACTAATCTTTACTTTCATGATTGTAAAGGAGAAAACAGCTCTTTCACTTACTTTCCTTTGGCACATGCAGCATTGCTCAGTGATTTGGTATGGCTGCACAGACAGCTGTGCTTTGTGCACAGAGTAAAGCTGAACATAATAGAGTTGCTGCTTGTGTAACCATTCAGGGCAGTACTCTTGGCTGGTTGGCAGTTGTGCCCTCAAGTTAGGGCCTCAAACCACACACCCTGCTGCACCCCGACCCTCCTCTGACCCGAGTGGTAATATGGCTTTGATGGTGGCTTGTTTAACCTAACCTCAGCAACCTGAGGCTACCCACACACAGGGGTTAAGAGGGGAAACTCTGAGGGAAGAAAAAAAATGAGTGGAGGGGGCTCATTGAAGAGGTATAAAGGTAACAAAAGTCTTGTAAAAGCCTGGTTGTGATTGGCCTGCATATTCATTTCAGCAATGGCAAACAGGCTGCATCTGGCTTGGGTTCTTTTCTGTCAGCAGTGGCAGCCTATGCATTTATCAGCTGTCACTGAAAAACAGCAGATGCACTGAGAAGACACAGAAGGGAAATATTCTGTGAAAAACACACTGATTGACAGTCATGAAACCATGTATCGCTTTAAGCATTCCTCTAATGTGTGTATGCCCATGGACTTAAATCTTATTTAACTTAACATGGAGTGCTTCGAGGTGAGGGGGTTCACCTTCCCAAAACAAGATGCAAGTCAAACCCAAACCAGATGCCATTCACCACTAAAGTAAATCAGTCATTCATAAAAGGCCCTTAATATTAAGGACAATGGCCATTTCAAAGCACATCAAATCCCCTCTTATTCCTGTTCATTCTCTCTCTTGCCCCCTCTCTATTTGCCTGGTCCATCTCTAAGGCAGCCAAGTTACAGATGAACAATGGCAAAGAGAGGGGAATTAAAGTCTAATGGCATAGTCTGAATTCTGTAGGCAGTTCTGTGACTA